TTCCTGTTGGCAGGGTGATGATCGGATGCATTTACCCAGTCCTTCTGACTCCAAGTTCTACCGCAGTCTGATGAGTGGAGAGCTGGATGAAGCTGTGGATGCAGACGAGTATTTAGTGCCCAATCACAGCTTCTTCAGCAGCCCCAGCACCTCCCGCACACAGCTGCTCCATTCTGTGGTAATACGCACTCTACTGGTCCATATTCAGTTCATGACATTCTATAAGTACTTTCAAACTCTAACTCATTTCTAATGTATAGTTTCAACCTCAGTATAAAAATGCTAAAGACACTGTAGATTACATTACAGCCAATATAATGCTTTTTCTCAGTTCAACAGAACAGTAGTGCTGCCCCCTAATAGTTGACAAACCGTTAGTCGACCAAAATTTTATTAGTTGCTTAGTCGCAGAAAAAAATAAAATAAAATAAAAATCCACATTGGCGAAATCACACAGATCGTTAACGGCTGGTCTATGTGATAGTACATCAGGCAGGGCATCCAAACACTCACCTATCATTCATCCACCACAAATATGGCTTATCATCTGAAATATGTAAGTAGCAGCAACTTTACATGGCCGCTCAATCTAATGTTAACCTAGAGAAATGTACGCTGTTCAAGTGTCTGTGTGGAGTGTGGAGCTGCGCACTTGCTGCAGGACAGATGGAGGCGCCGGTGCATTCACTTGATCTTAAAATACTCCCTAATTTTTGGTCATACAGATAAGAGTAATACATGTTTCGAATCTGTAAAGACTCTACGTTTATTTGTGTGCACTCACAATAGCATCAGAACATTGTGCTTTTGTAAAAGAATGAAAGCAAACAGGATGCGCTTTCTGCCGTCTCGGTCTCTGTGAACTTGAGCGTGAAACTCCGTGTATATCTTTGCCTTACATACATTAAAAATATATCTATAGAGAGTGAAATGTCTTCTTTCAAATAAACCAATTCAAATGGAAATCAAATATTCTCAGATTATGTAATCCGTATGAAACATCCATACAGGCGCAGCAGTACTACGGAGATGACGAGTCAGTGTCGCCGACCTCATCTCTTAAACCGAAAACTAAAAAAGCACTAGTTTATCAGTGAATTATTAAAATGTTAATGCAGCCTCCTTACTGTTTTTCCCTGACACATTCATAATCATTAATTCTGCCGGTGCGCTGTGGCAAGCTTTATGCGTGTGCTTGAGTGCTTATTAGGCTATGCAGTCAATTAAAGGCTCATTATAATGATTTAAATTGTTTATTAATAAACATGCGATTAGTCGACTAATGATTAAAATGAACGACTACTAGTCGACCAGAGAAATCCTTAGTCGAGGGCAGCCCTTCAGAACAGAGATTAAAAACATTACATATGCTAGCGTATTTTTTTTATTTTATTCAGCAGAGAAAGTTATTAAATTCAGCATTAAATAAGCGACAGTAAAGACATTGTTACAAAAAAAATTCTATTTCAAATAAATGCTGTTCTTTTGAACTTTCTATTAATAAACTAATAAAACCCTGAACAAAAAAATCATGAAAATATACCACAAAAATATTAAGCAGCACAATGTTTTCAACACTGATAAGACATGTTTCTTGAGCAGCAAATCAGCATATTAGAATGATTTCTGAAGGATCATGTGACACTGAAGATTAAATAACTTTTTAAAAAATGTTAAAATAGAAACCAGCTGTTTTAAATTTCACAATATTACTGTTTTTACTGACCAATATTAAAATGTATGCTATTTTGTTTAAATAAATTCTAAATAAAACACTAAAACTAAATAATTAAATAAATAAATAAAAATAAAATCAATAGTTAAAAAATTTAGTTAATTTAGGCATCACAGCATCCTAATTAATATAATCATATATTCATTTTCAGTTTTGTTAAAAACAGTTTCACATTTTACATTTAATAGCATGCATGAATATCGGCGAATATACATCCAATATTACACAATGCCGATAAGTGAAGAAATCTCTAATATTAGCCCATAACTAATATAGTGTGTGTGTGTGTGTGTGTGTGCGTACGTGTGTGTGTGTGTGTGCGTACGTGTGTGCGTACGTGTGTGTGTGTGTGTATATATATCATATTTTCTGCTCTAAATTACACTAAATGCTAAATGAATGCAATGCCTCTATGGACAGCCCATCTTAAAACATCTGTCACAGCTGAACAGTCCTCGCGGTACCAGTAATGCAGTGAATGGAGGCGATATCAAATCTGATGACAGTGTTGTGTGCTTTCACTCAAAAGGACAGAAAGTTCACATTGCAGAGGCCTGATTTTCGTCATCTTCTGGCCTGGCCTCCTTCACCCACTTCCTGTTCCTCTGTCCTTCTGTCTTTTCACCTTCTCTCCCGCTTCCTCCCAGCTGCCTCCTGATTAATGACCGTTCCGCAGCAGAAAAGCAAAACATGTCTGTCCAAGAGGACTCGCCAGGCCTCAGCATTCTGAGTGCTTCCTGGCCTCGCGCCTGCTGCTAAGTGCGTGCAAAGCTCCTTCAGCCTTTCAAGTCTGATTGCTTTCACGGGCAACACTTGTTAAATTTTTTTTGGCAGAACGAAGGCCTTGAACTCAGACAGAGTCTTATATAACACAGTCGTTGCGGCATAGCCATTTAAGGCTGTAGTTTCTCTGACAGATGGTAGCTTATTTAGCGTATGTTTTTTTTCCCTAGTTCCTTGTGTTTTATGAATGTGTTTTGCAAAAGAAAACCTACGACATTCTTACGTGAACAGCTGACTAAGTTTTGTTATGGTCCAGGAGCCTCAATAAGACTGGCTTCTGTTCTCCTCATAACAGGTACAGGCCTGTTTTGTGCACATGGTGTTGAATACAAAGATTTATCCAGTCCTCAGTAATCATCTTTTTATGTCAGTTGAATGGATTAACCATAGTAAAAACAGCGACTAGAAATAATACAACAAAGTGCAAAAAATACATACCTTACATGTTAGTACTACAACCCTATCACAGGGGTCTTCAAAAGGAGAAGATACCCCTCCCATATTAAAATGTGTTCATTACAATTAATTATTTGAATGGCTTTGCAATGTATATGTATAAAGTTCAATCAAGCTTCCAATACCCATTTACACTGTTTATTGAAAAACTAGCGAAAAATAGTTTATTTCACAACAGTATTTGGTTTATGTTACAAATATATACTTGTTTTTAAAGAGTTAATAATAAACACATGATTACTTTTGTTTTGTTTCAGAGTCTCAACAGCAGCATTGGGAACTATCATAGCAGAAATGGGGTAAGTTACTTATATCAAGTCAAATGAAATCACATTTTATGTATAAAGATAAAGATACAATAAAAAACAACTGTAGTTGACCACTGTGCTGTACAAACCATACTGAAATAAATGTTAAAAACATAAAAGTGTGTATACACTTAATAGGCCGCAATGCAATAAAGGGAGGAGACATCAAAAGGGATTCACCTTAGACTGTAGGAGCAGTTATAAGTTTGGGTAACATAATTGGCTTTTTATATAGATATAAATTCAGATTCAGATTAAACTAATCAGGGGAAACCAGAAGACTATTCCACAGTTTTGGCCTTATAGAAACAACACGGTCATGTCCCAACCATGTCCCAGTCTGAATCTCAGGATTATCAACAGTCTTAGCTCAGATCAACTCAGAGATCTAACAGATGTATTCGGATTCAGAAGATCAGAGAGAATTTTAAAATCTATTCTGTAATGGAACAGCAGCCAGTTCAGAGAACATAATATAGGGGAGATATAATCACATTTCCGGGTGTCAGTCTGGAATCTGGCATTTTGAACTACATTCAAATTTGTATTTGAAGATGATTGATATTAGATTGACTTATTCCAATAGAAAGAGAATTGCAGTAGTCAAGTCGAGTTGTATCACTCTCTCAAACTCTGCAAAAGCTAAGAAACTCTTAGCCTTAGCAATTTTAAGTGAAAAATGGATTTAACTACAGCATTTATCTGTTTTTTAAATGTGAGTGCAGAATCAAAAATAACACAAAATATTTTTTTTTACATATAGGAGACCATTTACATGTAGGAGACCAAATTTCCCAAGTCACAATCAGAGATACCTAAAAGGCCTGAAAGTGCAAACACAATAACCTCTGGTTTGCTCTCATTAAGAAGTAAAAAAAGAAAAGAAAACCATGACTTGATATAAGACAGGCACATGGCTGCAGGACCTTAAGCGTTTTTTTTTGTCATTGTGCTTCAAGGGCAAATATATTTGGGTGTCATCTGCATAGAAATAACATAACATACCCCATGCTTCATAAAAATAGAACCCAAAGGAGGCATATATAATAAGAACATAACAGGGGCCAAAATGGAGCCCTGAGGAACTCCATAATTCAAAGCAAAAATAGATTAAGAAAAACCATCAAGACAAAAAGTCAGACATCAAGACAGTATCACATTGCTAACTAATAACTTGCACAACCAAACAAAAAAATAAATAGGTAAATAGGAGAACATCTCATCGATTTTAAAACTGCAGTAGCAATTATTATAGCATGTGCATTTTAAAACACCGTGGTCTTTCTTTAACTATTTGCCACTTAAAAGAATTTCTCATGCAGTTGTTATTTATTTATTTATTTTTTATTGTTAATATGAACAAATGTACTGGAACCAGGACATCTTTAGTGTAAATGGCATGGAGGAAATTACATTTTATACATTTTTCTCATTATTATTATTATTTTTTATCCTAAATGCATAGTAATTTTTTTTTTTTCATAATTTTACAAAATTATTGATTGGAAATTGCGCACAATAAAATACTGTTAATGATATTCACCTTTACTGGTCATGGTGTAATTCATCCCACAACATTCGTCAGAATTTGTGTGAAAATTTCCATAAATAATTTTCAGACAATACATATTTAAACGGTCTGTTCAAATGATCATAGTTTTAAAAAAATTAAAAAACAATAAAAAAAAATAAATAATAAAAAAATAATAATAAATAAATAAATAAACCAGAATGAATCATTGATATCCAGCATGACCAACCCAATATACCAACACCCCGGACCTCCCCGCACACTTCCGCACTCTTCATCAGCGCTGGACGAAACTGAGGAAGAGTACCTGAACTGCTTTAAGAGCCCTGCTGCTGCTGCCGCCGCCCCACCTGAGTATCTGAACACATCCCACACACAGCTCCTCTCCAGACAGACGTTCTTCAGCGTACAAGGCTTCAACCCCCAGAACAGCATGGACAACCCAGACTACCAGCAGAACTTCTGCCCCCTGGAGCTCAAAACACACACCAACGGCCACTTGCCGGCTGCGGAAAATGCAGAATATATGGGGCTGGAAGTGCACTAGCACATTATGGAGAAGAGTAACTGTTAAAAATTAGCCACTTTATAGTAGATAAAGATGGAAGGACATCTATTTATAGCGGATACACAGGCAAACATTTTGCAGAGTTGTCAGACAGGTATGCCTGCCATCAAGGACAGAAAGAGCTTTTCATAACCTGAGCTACCTTTCAAATATGCTTGTTTTGTTTTGAGCTAGACTTGGTTGGATCGAACAACTGTGGCTCTCTCCAAAGTGACTATGAATGACAACAGGATATGAATCCCACGTCGATGCCAGTGGAAACATGCATGAAATGGCATATCATGAAACAAGCTTGTCGACCCATGCAAAGACTGCTTTTAGGTAATCTGGTTTCAGTCATGTTAATAATGTTTGAAATGAGCAAACACCATTGTACTGTGCTCAATAGTGTCTGTAACCATGAAACTTTTAAAGATATAGTTGCACCAAAGTATTTGGACACTTAAGTCACTTTTAAAAATCCATTGCATTAGATACGAAATATTAAAGTAAGTGACATCTTTCAAAACTTTGGATTCAGTAAGACATTATTAAATGTGTTTGCTCAGCAAAGTTTCAATTCATCAAAAGTGACAGTTAAGCCTTTACAATTGTTACAAAAAATTGAACTTTCATTAAAGAATCCTAAAAAAGTTCCCACAAAAATATTAAGCAACAAAAACTATTACTTAAAATCATAATAATAAGATATATTTCTTAGTCACTTAGTTAGCATATTAGAACGATTTCTGAGGGATCATGTGACACTGAAGACTGGAGCAATGACTGCTGAAAACTTTGTCATCACAGGAATAAATTACATTTTAAAATACATAAAAATTGTAACAATATTTTACAATATTACTGTTTTTTTTATCAAATAAGTGCAGCCTTGGTGAGCATAAGAGACTTATTTCAAAAATATTACAGATCCCAAACATTTGAAAGGTGGTTTATCTACTACTTCATACTTCAAAAACCTAATAAACATGTGTTTGCGATATATTTATGTGCATTAAATGCCCTTTGTATTAATATTGTGTTGTATAGGCTAATACAAAGCCATTTGTACATCTTTAATAGTGGCTCATGTGTCCAAATACTTTTCGGAAACACTATGTAAGCTGAACTCGAGGTTGTTTAATTCCTCTCTGCTGTGAATGAAAGTCAAATTTGAGTTAAATTTCAGATTTAACTGCTATGTTTTTGCTGGAAATGTTGGCTGTGTGGACAGGGCTGTGACAATGATCCATGTATGGATAGATTCAGCTTCGTCCGAAGGCCAACATATGACTGGTACTTGTACAGAACTGTCTGTAATATATGGCTGACATTTGCATTATTGTATCTAACATATCCATTGTCATAAAAACCACATATGGGGTCACTCATATATTCCATTTCTGTTTGTTCGTCCATGCGTTTTCACCCTCCTGTACCTTACTTGACTTTTGTAATAGTAACTCGATGAATCTGACACATATCTCACAGACAGAACATATCTTGAGCTCTATGATGGCTATGTTGCACAAAACAAAGTAATGTGGTTGGATATCTTAAATTCGCTCTTGCTTTGATCATTTGTATTTGCTCTCAAAACATGGTGACAATGTTCTTTCTTGTCCTTTGTTATATAAGTCAAATCAATAAAGACTTGTTTTTAAAAGAGTCGGTCTGTACTTGTTAATTGCGTGTGATAAATCAATAGTCATGATTGAACTCAACAGTTATGCATATCACCCACTTTCATGATCACAAACATGTGAAAAAGATCAAAGGTTAAAGAACCAGTTTTGGTGGCTTATATCGAGCTAACAAAAATATGCTTGAAGAATGTTTTGCTAATGTTCCAAGTTCTGAAGATGTTATTTCTTATTTTTTTCTCTGAACGTTCAAAATGTGTGTGGTTTTTTTTTTGTTTTGTTATATATTTATTTATTTGTTTTTTCTTGGTTATACAAACTTTAAGGGAACTTTCCGTTTATAATTGTGCAAACATTATTGGATTGTTACTTTTGAATGTTGAATAGTAACATTTAAAAATGTTAGACAAACATCCAACTAAAACGTTTAAGAAAAATAGTTCCATGAATGATGTATAAACAATGTTTTTGTGCTAATGTTTTGAGAATATTATTAAAAACCATAAAAATCTGTTTAAACTGTCATATAATGAACATGTTACAAAAGGGGAAAATGAAATAGTAACCTCAAAAAACATAATTCATCATGATTGCTAAAATAACCTAAATATAATATAAAATCAGCTAATAGTTTATTTAAATTATTAAAGTTGTAATTTTATGGGTGGACAATACTTGGCCTAATTTTGTTGTCCTTGTTTTTAAATTAAACACTTGCTTAGGAAATACAAATATGAAGAACGCCAAGGACAAAAGCCAGGCATTCAAGGATGGCCAAACAAAAAATTCAAGGGAAAGAGAGAAAAATACATAAAAAAAAAAAATAATAAT